CATACATGTTAATGAAATGATGAGGTTTTCTGATGTGGGGCTCCTATGTTCACCTTTTTTTCTGTAGATTGAATACAGTTGCTGTACTTGATTGGAAGCCATGGTTATTCAAATGTAAGGAAATTTGAGAACTCTCCTCTTTTTTGCACTTAAGGCCATTTATGTAGGCATTCACAGTATATACATTATTCTAATGTATTTATCTTTGTAGACTCTATTGGTGATTGTTTAGATTATTGCATGTGTCCCTCAGGGAACGGTTCCTTCTGGATTTCCTATGTCTGCCTGCCAGACCTTGCATATATATATATATGTGTGTGTTATCTTTGCCTAATTTAGGTTTTATTGTACGTTTTTTGATTTTCCAGTGATAAATGTATTAATGTATGTAATCTTTTCAGAATATCAGTTTTGCACCTCCCTTAACATACGGTCCTATATGCAAAACACATTGACCTTTGAAGCTGGACAAACTATTTACATAATCTATGTGGCTATACAATTAACAAGAAGAGGTTATGTATTTTTTTTTTTGGGGGGGGGAATCTTCTTTACAACCCCCCCTCCCCCGGTTTTAAATATATGGAATGTCTCTGTGTATTGTAAAGTGTTTCACATCTATGTAGAATAAAATATATATATTTTTTTTAATGAAACAAAGTGTGGTCTCATGTAGTGCCTATAAAGTCCGCTCCAGTATCTCCAGGTTCTAGCAGTTGTTTTTTTCCCAATTTCAATTGGATGTGGCACCTTGAAAGCTCTTAATATTCTCATAAAATGGAAAACGTTTCTTCCTCGTGTCAATGCCTGGGAGAGAGACTTGCAAGAATAGAACCAAATTTGGTGCATCACCAAATCTAGCTCTAAATAGGCTGTGGCGGTTGACACCATTTATAAAGTTCTTTCCTCTCATGGCCTATGGTACCCGCCAGACTAGCCTGAGCATACCCATTCAACCCTTCTTGCTTTTGCGACTGCCCAGACATGGGCTTCTATTACCATATTTGGTGGTCATGCCCCATAGTAAATACATTCTGGCACCAAGTCTGACATTTTGCATAAACGTCTGCAAAAATCCATACCCATGCTACTGCAAGAAGTTCTTCCTAATGTACAACCATCTAAGATCGCTCAGAAACAGCATGCTCTGATGGTCCATGTCCTGACAGCCGTGAAGCAGGCAATAGCGAAAGCATGGTTGTCTGATATGCTCCCGGTCACTGGAGGTCACAACTCACATGCAATGGATTTTAATCCATGAGAACTCACACCTAAACTGCAAGGCACTATGCTGGAATTTAGGCAAGTTTGGGACACCTGGATTTCTCGTAGTCTTCTGGGGACTTCAGATCGCTGCCTTCTTGAGCTTTAAACAACTATTAGTCTTGGGTTTTTCCCACTGCCTCATGGGTCACCCCTGACCGCTGCCACCCCCTGCCCCTTTCCTCCCTTCTTTTATCTTCCTTTCTCTCACTCCTGTTTCTTTACTATTTCATGAGCACCTGTATTACTCTTTTATATGTCCTGTGTCCTACCCTTGGCCTCGGGTTATGGTTATTATTGTGAGCTGTCATCACTTCCAATTTTGTTGAGATTATCTCTCTGTGCTATGATTCACATGGCTGACAAGCCTTTATATACTGTTATATTTACCAAGTTAGAGTTCAGACTTTTTGTGATACGCTTGTATGTTTTCAAGATAACCTGTCTGAAATCTTCAATATATTTATTTAGTTTCATGAGAAATTACAAAAATACCTGAATTAAAAAAAAAAAAAAAAAGAAATAGAAAAGCTTTATGCTTTGCAACTCTCATCCTGACTCAAAATTTTTTTCCCGGAAAGATGGAAAGTCCCTGTACGCTTGCTGTGCTTTATACTCCATGTAGCTGTAGCAGTTCATAAATCACTCACCACGGGCACATATATTAAAGAAGCAAATAGTTTATTTATACCAGCTTGGTCCACATGCACTATTTAAAGTCACAGAAAATTTTTGAGTTAAGCTGGCCGTATACGGACAAGGTTTTTTTTTTTTTTTTTGATCAGCCCACTGAACAGATTTCCTCCATACATAAACACAAGGTGGATGGAGAAATCCTCTCTGCTCTGCCATCAGAATACACTGATCAATGCTGCAGCACTGATGGAACAAATATTTTCCAACAATCCCGTTCATATGAAGTTAATCATTCGATCACTTAGATCCATCTATGGCCAGCTTTAGGCTGTAACTTTCTTTCAAAACCTCTCACACCTTCCTGTTACATACAGTGCTACATGCTGTTCCCTATCCCTCTCTGTTGTATACAGTCTCTTACACTTCCCTAATACAAACACAGTCTTGCAACACAACTACATGCAGTGTTCTTTCCACACTGTGCCTTATACCTCTAAATTACACACAATGATTCATGCGTCTATTACATATTGTGCCCTGTACCTCTCTGGCAAGCTCAGTGCTTCATATCACTGTTGGATGCAGTGCTTCATTTCTTTCAGTTACACAGTGTCACACTTATCTATTATCTATTACACACCACAGCTTTTACTTCTGTATTACATAAAGTGCTACACACAGTGCCTCATGCCTTTCTGTAACAAGTAAAACCTAATACCCCTCTACTGAATGCAGATCCTTTTCCTTACTGTTACACGCATATCCTTATGTCTCGATTAGACATTATACCAGCCTTTCCTTACTACCTGTGGTACAAACACAGCTATACTCAACCTACTGCTATACATTGTCACACGTGTATACCAAACTTTACATGAATATAGGGGCTCTTGATTTGCTAAACCAGCATCAAAATTCATCCTGACCCTGAATTATGGTAAAGGGAATAGCATAGTTGGAGACTGCTTTGCTGCTTCAGGACATATTCAAAATCATAATATAAAATTGTACAGAATGTGTTGATAGTGGCCTGTCACGTAAAGCTTTAATAGGTGTTGGATGTTGCAACAAAACAAAGACACACAGCCAGGATTGTTCACTTACTAGGGTAAGTTATGCCCGGCCATACATGGATCGAAATTCAGCCAATTCAGTAGAATCCAGTCCATGTATGGGCAGGATGGTTGTAGAGAAGTCGACTTCTGTACAATTACCCTGTTGGATATTTGTCGCTTGATCGCTGATCAGTGTATTCTGACAAAGGGGAAGTCTCCCGATGTCAGAATACAAAGGCACAGTAGGAAAATCCCCCCCATGTACATCAAATGTGTGGATGGGAGAATCCAGGCTTTTTTTCGTTCAACCCACTGGTTGAGCGGAAAAAAAAGAAAAGAAAAAATCATCTTTGGGCTGCCTTAGAAGCCCACTGGATTTCTAGCAGATCCATAAGTATTTTCTGTAATTGCAGGGTTTTGACATAGGAGCTGTGGATTACACATATATTTGCAAAAGTGTGCAACTAAAATCTGTTTTTAACAAAGTGTTAGACAGGACCACTTTGTTTTTTTTTTGTTTTTTGCAGGCTAGCTGGTAAGTGTGCAGAGAAATTTTTGTTTGTTTGTGATACTTCACATATATGCAATATGCTTTTTTTCTGTACAGCCATTTGCACAGAAATCCGGTGCGAAACTAGATGGTTCACAAACTATTTCTTGTAACTGTACATGGCACCTCTTGCTTAACCATTCTGTTTAAGTTATAACATGACAAATATACAGCTATTAACAAACAAATAACTTTCCAAAGAAATTTTAATTTTCAAGTTTTACAATGACACAAATTACAGTGTGAATCAAGTACCCACAATATACTTGACTGATATTTAAATATCTATTTAAAGGTTATTTCATATTGTTAATCAAAATGAAATTAAAGCCAGTGCACAACCCAAAAAAAAAAAAAGTCACAACACATTCATCTGGCTGTAACAATGATACTTAGGCATGGCAAGGAGATTTTTTTTTCTTCAATCCAATACAAAAATAATTTTCCATATCCAGCTTTTTACCTTAAAGTTTTAGAAAAGTAAATCAAACAGCACAAAATTGTATTGCTAGGCAGGAAGGGTATGAAGTGTGAACATGAAAAAAAAGCTGAATAGGTTTTTCAGAACCATGGGCAAACATTTTTGGAATCAAAGCTATAGAAAGCAGCCTTCCATCAAACAGCTCCCTGTCCTGCCCATTAACTGCTGCTACTATGCTCCAATTATGGGTTAGGTTATTCCTGCACGGTTCTCCAAAATGTAAAATAAATGAAGATCCAAAAAAAAAAAAAAAAAAAAAAAGAGCAAATTCTCACCATAATAGCCACATAAGGTGTGTGGGAACAGAGATTGGCAGTAGAGACCTCACTGCTCAAGGAGAGAAAACAAAAAACAGTGAATAATTTAACATCAGCAACAACAATTTAACATCAGCTGAAATATTGCTATTTGATGAACTACTCCTTTGAAAATAGTACAACTAACTCCAGAAGTTACAATTTCACAAAAAAGCAATAATTACATAAGTGGACAACTTAAGGAACCTGTCAGAAGACCTATGAAAGCTCCTTCTGCTAACATCTTTTGTAATTCTATTTGGCTGGCTCTCTGATCCTCTTACTTCAAGTAACTGATCCAAAACATCTACAAAAAGGACTGTGTTTTTTCCTACTTTTCTATTGGCATACTCGCTCTGGATCAGTGATTCAAAGTACTGAAGCTAGTGGGTCAATATAACAGTCAGGCAAATTGCATTTCTAGAAGGTGAGCAACACCAGCCACAGCTCTATTCTCATGGCAGAATACCTTTAACGGAAACCAGTATCAGCAACAGCCAAGTTAAAGGCGCTGCCAATTTAGGATGTAATGGAAGAAGGATTAGGTGAATTTGCTGCCACTAACAGAACCTCCTGTGTGCTAATCACACACTGTGCTGAAGGAGAGGAAGACTAATCCAGTTTTTACATGGGTAGGTGTGGAGTTGGTAACAAAGTAACATGCTTTGTACTGTCAGTAAGTGCAGGTAATGGGCCACTCCATTTATGTGTTGCCTAAATTATTTAGATTTAGCAAATCCAACACGGTCATTTTCTCTGTCAAATACAGTGTAATACTGGCCAATGAAAACATCCCCAATGATCCAGAGTGGGCCAGCGGGAGGAGGAATGTCAAGGCCCATGAATCCACTGATGCACATAGTACGGCCAAACTGAGTCACCTGAGAGAGAACACAGGATTACAATTAGGAGGGTCTTATTCAGAATACAGCTCCTAAAATGTGTTTTAAATTGCAATACATGCAAAGGCTATATGAACACTACTTGTCTTCATATTTAATTCATCACTGCGAAATACTCACCTTCAGAACATATTGTTCTCCGGTCAGGCTGTAGTCCTTTCCTCCAAAATTGAATGTAATAACAGGTAGTGAGGGAATTTGATCACAGATCACCATATACTGCAGTGAAAACAAAAACAGTTTTATCTATAACATCTAATTCTGTTTGGGAAAAAAAAGCAAAAAAAAAATGTAACTTTAAAAAGCCATTCTGTTAGCCTTGGAGGACTCCTCAAAACTGGCACATGCAGCCTAAAGAAACATCCACGTGCACAAAGTTGATAGATTAATATACACTCACTGGCCACTTTATGAGGTACACCTGTTCAATTGCTTGGTAACACAAACTGCTAATCAGCCAATCACATGGCAGCAACTCAATGCATTTAGGCATCTAGATGTGGCGAAGACGACTTGCTGAACTTCAAACCGAGCATCAGAATGGGGAAGAAAGTGACTTTGACCGTGGCATGGTTGTTGTGCCAGTCGGGCTGGTCTGAGTATTTAAAAAACTGCTGATCCACTGGGATTTTCACGCATAACCAGCTCTAGAGTTTACAGAGAATGGTCCAATAAAGAGAAAATATCCAATGAGCAGCAGTTGTGTGGACAAAAATGCCTTGTTAATGTCAGAGGAGAATTGGCAGACAGGTTCGAGATGATAGAAAAGCAACAGTAACTCATGTCAATATGGACCAAAATCTGTGGAACGTTTGCAACACCTTGTTGAATCTTTTGCATTCAGAACTGCCTTAACCGGTTCAGTGCCGCCCCATAGTAGAAATACTGCTACAGGGCGGCAGCTGTGCGCAAAATCACATGTATATATGCGATTTCGCATTTCCAGGTAGTGGGCATGCGCGTACCCTACCCGTGCGGCCGTTCGCAGCCGTCAGTCACCGGGTCCCGGCTGGTGATTACTCGCCAGCACCCTGTGATTGCCAAGGATCTCCGACGGGGGAGAGACCTGTTAGTGAACAAAACAGTTCTCCTCCCTGTCAGCTTCTGCACACTGATTTGTGACAGGCCAGGCCATTTTCTGCGTTACAGCGCTGCGCTACTTTAACAATTGCGCGGTCATGCAATGCTGCACCCAAATGAAATTTATGTCATTTTTATGCCCACTAATTAAGCTTTCTTTTGGTGGTATTTGATCGCCTGTGCGTTTTACATTTTTTCTGCTATATAAAAAAAAGTGACAATTTTGAGAAAAAAAAAAGTAATATTTTTTACTTTTTGCTATTAAAATGCCAAGTAAAAAAAAAAATTGTAAAAATTAAATTTGGATATAAATTAAGGCCAAAATGTATTCTGCTACATGTAAACATGCTACGTGTAAATTAATTGGTTTACGTGAAAGTTAAAGAGTTTACAAATGGCGGTATATATACTGGGTTTTTTTTTTTAATTTTTACTAGTAATGGCAGCGATCAGCAACTTATAGCGGGACTGCGGCGGGCATTCTGACACTGGGGGGAACTGAATTGGTGTCACTGACTAATAAAAAGCACTGACACTGTACTAACGGCACTGGGCAGGAAGGAAGGGGTTAACATGTAGGCGCTCAAAGGGCTAAATTGTGTGCTGGGTGTGTTTTACTACAGGGCCCTGTGTTAGTGCTTCACTGTGAGCACACAGCTTTGCATGGCTGTGCTGTGCAAAGCAGTGTGCACGAGCTGACAGGGTGGAGAACTGTTTTGTTTACTAACAGTTCTCTCTCCCGTCGGAGATGCTCGGCAATCATCGGGCGCTGGCGAGTAATGAAAGGGGTAAAACCTTTTCGAGGTCAAGTGATTAAGTAGAACTGAGGGCAAAACTCCCTCCTTTGTGGATAGCGTAAGGGAGGTTATAACCTATGAGGGTTTCTTTGCTATTGGTGTCCCACCACAGGGATTTCCATTCTGGTGTCCAACTGGGGAGATTTCCTGCTCCATAGTCACAATACAAAAGTGAGAGGATATCCCTGGTAGTCATCAGGACTAATGCTCCTATAACAAGATTTCCCTCTGTATTCCTTGTTCTGGTGACCACTTAAAATCTGGGATTTTCTTTCACTATCTGTAATAAATGGTCATCAGGACAAATAAAAATTATTATTATTACACAGGATTTATATAGCGCCAACAGTTTGCTCAGTGCTTTAAAAATAATATTAATATTTTAATAGCACTTTTCTCCCTAGGGACTTAATTGATGGCAGCGACTTCCATATTGTGGGTGGTGCATGAAAGAAAACACAAGATCCAAAAGACTTTAAGAGGACCCAGGGCATGTGTAATCTCCCAATCTCTGAGCAGTGGAATGAGAATGTGGGAGTATGGGTAATCAGTAGTTCAGTCAGATAGACAGAGTTATTTGGTGGGCTCTATAAGCAAGCTGATTTTATATTATATTCTCTATTTGACTGGCAGTCAATGTAGAAATGCAAGAACGGGGGGGTTGAGAATGTGACAGCGATGGGGTTGATTAGTAAATAGCCTGGCAGCTGTGTTCCGCACCAGCTGCAAGTAATGCAATTCTAATTCTCTCAGGGAGACCACAGTAAGAGGCACGGCAATAATCCTATCTGTTACAATAGCATAGATTAATTTTGGCATATCCTCTGCTGGAATCATATTGAATGGAAAATGATAACTGGATGCTAAATTGATCGGTGTCCAGGATCACACTCAGGCTGCACACATGGTCTGAGAACATATGATTTGTATTTCCAAGGTTTAAACCAGCTGTATATGCGTTTGCTACCACTTTGTGTTCGCTTCTGTCCTCCAATTGGGGACAACAGCAAAAACAAAAACTGACAGGTGTTACATGCCCTCTCTACTCCATCTAAAAATTAAAAAAAACCAAAAAAAAAAAAAACAGGTTTGCCTTCAATTCTAGTTCAACGACTTGTCCTCCAGAAGATTTACCCCCCTTCCTGACGAGGACATTTTTTGCAATACGGCGCTACGTTACTTTAACTGACAATTGTGCGGTCATGCAACACTGCACCCAAATTAAATTTACGCCCTTTTTTCCCCACAAACAGAGCTTCCTTTTGGTGGTATTTTATCATCTGTGTGGTTTTTATTTTTTGCGCTATAAACAAAAAAATACTGACAATTTTTGAAAACAAACTGTATTTTTTTACTTTTTGCTATTAAACATGTCCAGTAAAAAAATGTAAGAAAAAAAATCAAATGTCATAAATTTAGGACAAAATGTATTCTGCTACATGTCTTTGCTAAACAAAAATCACAATACGTGTAAATTAATTGGTTTAGGTAAAAGTTATAGCGTGAGCTGACAGGGGAGATATAAATATTGTTTACATACAGGTCTCTGCCCCGTCGGAAATCCTTGGAGATTGCTGGGATCACCAGCTGGGACCTGGTTATTGACAGCCAAGGCTGAAAATGGCGGCGCGGGTAGGGAACTGCAAATTCATGTATATACACACGTGATTTTGCGCACCAGTGCCGCCCTGCAGCAGTATTTCTGCTACAGGGCAGCGTGGAAGCAGTTAAAACATTAACCCCTTGCCGACCAGTCACTTATCTGGTACATCACTGGACTTCAAGTTGTTGTACCCCAAAAGATGCCTGTGGCTTCAGGCATCACCCTGGTACTGTTTTTTATTGCTGACAGCTGGCTTTATTGCAATAGCAATCAAAGCAGCTAACTAGCCTCTTGATTGCTATTACAAGCAGCAGGAGGGGACAGTCCCTCTCCTTCCCGAGGCTTTAACGGGAGTTCCCATCTACCGGGAGTCCTGATCGACCAGCCAGTGCTACCGCCGGCTGGTCACAGAGTCGAACAAAGACCAGATCAGCTTTGTTCTGCTCTGTTAAATAGCAATCTGGAAGCAATGACCTGAAATCACTTCCAGTTTACTCGGAAATTTAAAAAAACATAAAAGCATTCAATCACATCGATCTTGGTGACTGAATGCTTTTAAGGGCATAGGAAGGATTTGGTGTCTTGTTGACCGTAGATCCCTCCCATAAAGAGTATCTGTCACAAGCCTGTTGCTGTCACAAGTGATATTTACATTCTTTGTGACAGGAAAAAAAGTGATTTTTTTTTTTTTAAAGTGCGTGTAAAAATAAAAAAACAATTGAAGTGTTCCTGTGCTTGTGAACAAAGTGAAAGCACACAAGCAGTGATTGTCCCACACATGAAGTATCACGGCAGCTGTCAGATTATGGGCAGTAATTCTAGCACCGGACTTCATCTGTAAATCTAAAGTGGTAACCTGTAAAGTCTTTTAAAGCTTCACCTATGGATAGTAAAATTGACATCATTTGTTGCCGTTGCACTGGCGTGTTAAGTGGTTAAAGTAAAAGTTAAACTTATTCCTACTTAAGCTTAAATGTGCACCGACCCCCCTTCTAAACCCTATTCTATCTACCCTGGGAAAGGAAGATGCCTATACTTACCTATTCTAAGCGATCTGGTCCGGTCACATACTTGGGTCACAGTGCAGGCTCAGAATAGAGGAGGGACAGCCGGCAATAGATGCTCCATAATAAGTCTATGTTAGAAGGCAGCACCCAAGCTCTGCAGCCACAGCAGTCGCTGCTGGGGAGATCACGTGACTGGACCAGCTCGCTCGCAGAATAGGTAAGTATCAGCATCTTCCTTCCACAGAGAAGATAGAAGCTTTAGAAGGGGGATGGGAGCAGGCTTATTTTAGGAATAAGCAGCACTTCAATTTTAAACTCAAAAGCAAACATTTTTTTATATTTCAGTTTACCAATTCTTAGATGTGATGGCTGCATTAGGTTTCTTTTTCAGGCTCTTTCTCTTCTATTTTCACCTAGTAATCTAGCCAGTAAGTCTGTTTTTCAACAGAACAAGCTGTCCTGCATATTTAGAAGTTGGAGGGTTGGGACAAACCATTTAACATTGACAGGGATGCTTACAATGATCATCTTTAATTTATTCATGTAAAACCTTTATCCCAAAAGGAACAAAACTGTTTGCTGTAACTGCTTAATAAGTGTGAGCTGGAATTTTGCTTCAATTCATTAGTTTACTAAAATCTGCTAGTACATCTAACACCACCTTCCCAAAGGTGCCCCCTTCATCTAGAATGGAGGCACTCTAATACAGGGAGGCGTTACTGGCCAGAACACCAGGTGAAAACAGAGAAAGCCTGAAAAAGAAAACTAATGCAACCACTACATCTAAACATTGGTAAGCTGCAATGTGTTAAATGTATGCTTTTGGGTTTAATATCCCTTTAATAAGAATAGAAATTCATGATTCTGAGTTATGTGTGCTCCTGGTTTCTTTGGTTCAGTTACAATCTCCAGTGACAATTGGTACATAATGCTCTACAGTCCACCAAGTAACTAACAATGTTTCATCGTATAACTTGAACACCCATTGTCAGACAGGCACTCACCTCTCCATGAATAAGGGGCAGAGCTCCAATAGCCTTCTGCAGTGCATCGATTTCTTCTGTTGGGCCAATGATCAGGGAGGTCCCAGTATCCACAATAGCCTCACAACCGCCTTTACACAGAGTCAGCTGACCTCCGACCTCTACACTGCAGGGGAGAGAGAAACATTTCTCAGGCAGGATCTAACTGCATTACAGTTGAACTGGCCCACACAAAGCAATTATGCTAGCACTGGACAGACAATAGCCTCCTAGCTTCATATTTCACTTAACATAACCAGGGATGAGACTCATTGCAGTTCTCCACAATTACAAGACTGACACATTCTCTACGGACCCTACATTTCAATTTCAAGGCAAAGGACCAGTGTTTATAGGAAATCTACCATGATGGAAATGTTACAGCATGGACAATTTGAGTCATGCGCTCCCAACCTGTACACTGATCAGGAAATCTTACTTCTCCTGCTGCATTTGCTTTTTATGCATAGTTACATAGTTAGTCTGGCTGAGAAAAAGACAAAACTCCAATCTAGTTCTACCACAAAAAAAAAAAAGTTATAATCCTATATCCACAGTTGATCCAGAGGAAGACAACAAAAATCCAGCAATGAATGATCATTTTTGTTCTGGCAGGGGAAAAAAAATCCCTTCCTGATCCCCCGAGAGGCAAGCGGATATTCCCTGGATCAATTTTACCTATAAATGTTAGTATCCAGTTATATTCTGTGTATCTAGGAAACAATCCAGGCGGTTTTTAAAGCAATCCACTAAGCTGGCCAGAACCAACTCTTGAGGGAGTTTATTCCACATTTTCACAGCTCATACTGTGAAGAAACCTTTCCATATTTGGAGAAAAAATTTCTTTTCCTCCAGACGTAAAGAGTGCCCCCTTGTCCTCTGTGATGACCTCAGAGTGAGTAACTCTACACCGAGTTCGCTATATGAACCAATGATTTATTTATATATGTATGCTTTTTATGACAGGTGCCTTTTAGGAGAAGGATAAAGGAAAAAATCCAGTCCACTGCTGGTTCTGACTGACAAAAGGCAAGCTGATGATACGGTAAGTAACAACATTTAGAATAATAAAATTTTTTTTTTAAAGGATCTCAGTGCCATAAACACTTTGCAGTTGACTGCTCTAGGTTTACATCCTTCAACATAGTCAATAGTGCAAATCTTGGCATGCAAAGACAGAAAAATATTTCCCGAGACCAAAATCCAATTTTAGGCAAGTTTAAATAAAAATGCTCTTAAATCTTTTTGCGTCTTATGTATGGACTGTCTCTCTCAGACTCTGTGCTACTTCGGGCCTGTACAGCCAATACAACAGCTAGTAGTGATAGATGCTATTCATACAGTGAGAAATGCTGAACTCAAACTGGATATGAACTCAAACACTGAAGATTTGCCATGTCTGGATTTATAAATTAATATAAAAACAGAGTGAGCGCTAAAATAAATATAAATATAAAAATATGAGAACTGACCGCGACTGTGCACCAAAAGGCACCATATAAGACCTTCAAAAGGAACAGAGATAAGGGGGGGGGTGCAGCACTATAAAAGAATCCACAGTAATAGTAGAATCAAGATTAAAATTAAAAATTAAAAAATTGAAAAACAAATAAAGTGACCATGTGCACATAAAAAGGCCACTAAGTTGTGGCTATGAAAGTGAAGGAAGTGTAAAATCAATCAATAAGTCCAAAACAGAAGTGCTGATAAGATCTCAGATGATCTTCAGATGTCCAATATGTGGAACCATAAAGGAGCTGATAAATTGTGTAAAGATTGCGCATAAGTAATAGGAAACCACTGAACATCTGATGTCATCCAACTGGTCTGGTCAGATCTGGTCACATAATTCTCACTGCCTGGTGCTGTCACACTTACAGATACCGTTTTGATGGATGTGGCTGCTCTGTGAACCTAGCTGGTTCTCATAGGAACTCAAACAAACAGAGAGGCCACACATAGTGTAGTATCCTTAGGGTGTTTATTCCATATGCAGGCACATATATAGCAGAAGAGGTACCAACAGATAAAAAGATCAAATATACTGACCAAATAAATATGCAAGATGGCCGCCGGGGCCCCTCGTGGCGCCTGCGGAGTAGCATCCAGCCTGCTGTAGCTTTCTCTGACGCATTTCGAGCGACTGCTCGTAGTCATAGGGGTGCAGGGAAAGCTACAGCAGGCTTGACGCTATGCCGCCGGAGCCACGAGGGGCCCCGGCGGCCATCTTGCATATTTACTTGGTCAGTATATTTGATCTTTTGATCAGCAGGCGCCAATGGCGCCTGCTGCTGTCTCAGTCAATGAGGAGGGGGAGACCTGGAACAGCCGAGGCTCTCCTGCACAGCATTGGATCACAAAGGGACTCACGTAGGTATTGGTGGGGATGGGGGGGGTTATGGTTTGGAGGGGCTGCTGCACACAGAAGGTTATTTTACCTTCATGCATAGGATGCATGAAAGTAAAAAACCTTTAGTCTTTACAACCACTTTAATTCTCTAATTAACAGATATTATCATATCAACTAGCACACAGCCCACCAACAGGATGACAACACAAATAAATAAATTATAGCTTTTACTTACTGGTTCATACGAATCTGCCAGTATGCCTTACGGGTCACATTCATGTAATTGAAGTCTCCAGTGTAAAATTTAGGGTCAGTACCTCCAAGTAGCAGTTCTCCCCCTGGCTGCGCATCGGGGTTTCTAAAGGATGATCATGGGAGAAATATTAGAAATCATTGACAGAGTTCATTTGTATAAAATATCTTATATTACACCTACTAAAAGAATTCATATTTTCAAACTGTAAGTGCATCTGAGCTAATCAGAACAGAAAAAGTCAACAAATCTTAAAAGCGGAGCTCCACCCAAAGGGGGAAGCTCTGCTTGTTTGCACCCTCCCACTGCCACATTTGGCACCTTTTGGTGGGGAGACGGTACCTGGTTTTGACATAGTGAACTGAGCCGAAAGTTTGTACCCCCTCCTTCCCCCCGCAGTCTTTTGGGACACTTCACAGGTCCCAAAAGACTGTTGGACCAATCACAAGGCGCAGCACAACTTGCGCATATGAAGTAGGAAACAAGCTGTGAAGACGCAAGGCTTCACTTTCGGTTTTCCCTTACTTGCAGGGCCAGTGTCGGGAACCCAGAGGCTAGTGAAGAACTGGCTTGGGTGACAACGGCGCTGGACCCATGGACAGGTAAGTTTTTTGGTTGAACTGGATGGACTTTTGTGTTTTTTCAGCCAGACTAACTACAGTGGATATAAAAAGTCTACACACCCGTTAAAATGTCAAGTTTCTGTGATGTAAAAAAAAAAAATAGAAAAAAATAAATCATTTCAGAAGGGTTTCTATCTTTAATGTAACTTAAACTGTACAACTCAGTTAAACAACAAACTGAACTCTTTTAGGTGGAGGGATGTAAAAACAAAAAACTAAAATAATTTGATTGCATAACTGTGCACACCCTTAAACTAATACTTTGCTGAAGCACCTTTCGATTTTTTTACAGCACTTTTTGGGTACGAGTCTATCAGCATGGCACATCTTGACTTGGCAATATTTTCCCATGCTTCCTTGCAAAAACACTCCAAATCTGTCAGATTGCGAGGGCATCTCCTGTGCACAGCCCTCTTCAGATCACCCCACAGATTTTCAATCGGATTCAGGTCTAGGCCTTTCCAAAACTTTATTCTTCTTCTGGTGAAGCCATTCCTTTGTTGATTTGGATGTATGCTTTGGATCGTTGTCATGCTGAAAGATAAAGTTCCTCTTCATGTCAGCTTTCTAGCAGAAGCCTGAAGGTTTTGTGCCAATATTGACTGGTATTTGGAACTGTTCATAATTCCCTCTACCTATGCAGGCCATAGACGGTTCGTTTATCGGCCGAGTTTTCGTCCGAAAGAACAATCGGCCAATTTTTGCACTGTTAGTGGGGCAATGGCATTGGCCGATTTTCGCGGTTCCACCTCATTTCATTTATCGGTCATGCTGGAAAATTTGTGAAAAACGGCCGATGTTCCCAATCATTGGTGTCAACATCTGTTTACAGAACGAACGATGTTTCGTTTTTCAGACTAAAAATCGGCCAATATTATTATTATACAGTATTTATAAAGCGCCAATAGTTCGCTCACGCTGTACATTACAAAAGGGAGACAGAACATGTGACAGAACAATACCAATACAATGCAAAAATGAGGGGATCAAGGGCCCTGCTCTTTCGAGCTTACAATCTAGGAGAATAAACGAACTGTCTATGGCCTGCATTAGGCCCCAGTTCCAGCTGAAGAAAAACAGTTCCAAAGCATGATGCTGCCACCACCATGCTTCACTGTGGGTATGGTGTTCTTTTGGTGATGTGCAGTGTTGTTTTTGTGCCAAACATTTCTCTTGGAATTATGGCCAAAAAATTCAACCTTGGTTTCATCAGACCACAACACATTTTTCCCACATGCTTTTGGGAGACTTCAGCTGTGTTTCTGCAAAATGTTGCCGGGCTTTGATGTTTTTCTTCCTAAGAAAAGGCTTCCGTCATGCCACTCTACTCCATAGCCCAGACATATGAAGAATATGGGAGATTGTTGTCACATGTACCACACAGCCAGTGCATGCCAGATATTCCTGCAGCTCCTTTAATGTTGCTGTAGGCCTCTTGGCAGCCTCCCAGACCAGTTTTCTTCTCACTTTTCATCAATTTTGGATTTCAAGCCCGGATTTCAATACTAACAAAATTTCTTTTGTTAGTATTAGTAGGACACAAAAAAGTGGAGAGACAAAATACAAATTGACACATTCCACGCAAAATCCCCAAAATGGACTGGACAAAATCATCAGAACACTCAATATAATAGCATACCCCTTTGGAAAAAAAATAAACTGAAACCAAACGCTTCCTGTAACCATTCGAGTTTCTTACACTCCTCCAATGGAATTTTTGGACCACTCTTTTTTTTCACCAACTGCCCCAGGTCTCTCAGATTGGAAGGCTTCCTTTTCCCAACTGCTGTTTTGAGATCTCTTTACATGGGCTCTATGGGATTTAAATCTGGACTCATTGCTGGCCAGTTCAGTACTCTCCAGCGCTTTGTCAAACCATTTCTGGGTGCTTTTTGACTTGTGCTTTAGGTCATTGTCCTGCTGTAAGACCCATGACGGAGACCCAACTTTCTGACCCTGGGCCCTACATTGCACCCCAGAATTCTTTGGTCATCTTCAGATTTCATGCCATGCACACGGTCAATACACCCAGTGCCTGAAGCAGCAAAGCAACCATAAAACAGGGAGATTACATTGCCATGGGCTATAATCTTCTTGACAATGTTGCGCACAGTGGACACAGGAACATTAAGATCTGTTAATTGATACAGGTGAGTTTAATTACAAATTACAGGAGCACCACAAACTTGCAATGCAATTATTTCTTACAATTTTGAGAAGGTGCCAATAATTTTCCAGTCCATTTTTGGGGTTTTGCAGGGAATGTGCTAGATTTGGCTTTTTGTTTCTCCACTTTTTTGTGTCATACCAATGCAAGCAAAATAAATAATCATGGCAATGCCAAAACATTTGTGATTGCAACAATTTTCTGTGCCAAGTGGTACATGATATGACAGAAGTGCAAGGTTGCCAATATTTTTGGCCATGACTGTATGTCAGTCAATATTAGTTGTGGTTATTTTGTTTTGCACGTCCTGTGCTACATGGTCAGCGGATGTGCAAAGCCGTTGTGGTGTGTGATCAGGGATCAGATCGGTTAGCTGCAGAGACATATCGGCTGTGACAATACATCACCTCTGGACGGATCATACATCCATAAGTGGAAATCTGCCTACCCAGAGAGCAATAGCAGGTTAACCCCTCATAGGGGAACCCCAGTGGACGTGGATCACTTGTTAAGTCCTAAAGGTCCTGTCTGATGATCCATCATCCCTTAGAGGGAAGACCTTCTAGTTCCTGTTCCCACTTGTGATATCTGGAATTATTAATGTAAGGCGCATATAATATGCGCGTCCGGTGAGTGTGCATTACTTACATAACCATTCGCGCAGATACCGGGTCCAATTTTACCAGAGCACAAGAGTCACCTTTGAACTGTTTTTATTCATTTTTCATGAATTATTATTAATTTATATTGATTTATTGGCATTCATAGGTTTTCAGCACTGCACCTTTCTGTATACAATATTGGCACAAAACCTTCAAGCTTCTGCTAGAAAGCTGAATATGAAGAGGAACTTCATCTTTCAGCATGACAATGACACAAAGTATACATCCAAATCAGCAAAGGAATGGCTTCACCAGAGGAAGATTCAAGTTTTGGAATGGCCCAGCCAGAGCCCAGACCTGAATCTGATCACAAATCTGTGGGGTGATCTGAAGAGGGCTGTGCACAGGAGATGCCCTTACAATCTGACAGATGTTGAGTGTTTTTGCAAGGAAGAGTGGGAAAATATTGCCAAGTCAAGATGTGCCAAGCTGATAGACTCATACCTCTGCCTAGACAGTGCCGTTTTGCCCTTTGCTGATCACATGCACTCCCAAGAAAAAAAAAAAAACCCTCTCTGCACATGCTCATTTTGGTGTGCATTGCTAGAGTCTCCACACTATATGTGTTATCAAGAGATAAGAGGGGGACACTGGAAGAAGGGGAGGATCAGTCAAAGTCAGGATCAGACAGCATTTTTACACAATGCAGAAGATTAACTCGTTAGGTTCCACAGTGAGTATAACAAGCATGCTTTACTGCATATACAGGCTAATTTTACTGTTGTGGGTTTAGTGACTCTTTAAATCTCCTTTCTCCTCTACCCTAGACAAAAATGAGCAGTTAACCCATGCAGTGCTGGCGCAGCCCAACTGCATGGTAAAATTTTTTTGCCCACAGATGAGCTGTAAGCCCTTCATTAGGGCTCAGAAAACTTTATTTAGGCCTAGATAGTTTCAGTAAAATTGGATGATCAAATAGATATGTAGTCAGTGTATGTTGAGACTGCAAACCTGTGACAGTTTAAGTAAGTTGGAGGTCTCAACTTACAATGTTGAGAGAGCCAACATAACCACACTGTCTCAGATTTGCAAACTCAACTTACACTGAGAGTAACTGAAGGCTAGAACCCCTATCAAATTTTTACTGCCGATTACATCCCCTTACAGAAACATTCCCATGCTTATTACCACTGTACACAGTGATGGGAAATCAGTCTACAGGGGCCACAGACAGAAACAAGAGCAACTTTATTTATTTATTTTTTTAGCTAAGTGAGGAATGGTTTATCTTTTCACATTGGTTTTATTGATTGCTCTCATTGTCATCCTGCCACCAAGAGAAGCGAATCCTGTATTTAATCATTCGGACCAGGGAGTGAGCAAATCTCAGGCACTACAGCCCTTAAAGCTAAACTTCGGTATCCACCTTACAATGCATTCAATCCCCTCTCTCCTCAAGCTCCATACCATTATTGCTTTTTTGGTTAAAAAAAAATTTCATGTAAAAATGTGGTTTTAAATTTACCTGTGATGCCATTAAGATCACAAAAATAAACTTGTTATTGCTGGGGGCAGTGGAAGGGTCCTATACAGTGCTATATGTATTTCTGACATCGCTCCAGCTGTCACACAGACCAATTAGAATAGCTTGTCAATCACAGATTTTGAACATAGAAAGGAGTGACAGATCAGGGAAACAAGCAGTCAGAAGTAGAGGCCAACTCCCCCCCCCCCCCCCAGGCAACAAGGATGATACGAGCCCGATCTACAGTATGTCTGTTAAATGATCACAGAGAGAAGATACCCACGAGTGTTTGTTGAAAATGGAATTAATGGCCCTGCTGCTATATTTCAGATATTTTTTAAAAGGATTTATGACTGCTCTACTGTCTAGCTGATAAAAGGAAATGGAAAATCTGGCAAGGAAATGCATTAATATAATAATTGCTCTGCCTACAGAAATAAAAATTAACAGTTTGCCATCGTCACAGAGAAGCCTTACCTGTTCAGATAGAAAGAAAACACATTTTTATCTACAAGCTTTTGATTCATGATGTCATCAAAGACAGTTGGAGCCCCATCTACAGATATTCGTGGGTATGCCATTCCCAAAATACCATCAAACTTTGCTGCTACAAAAGTGATGCCGGGTTGTTTTATAGCCTCTGCAAAAAGCTGGCCCTTCACAGCCAGGTTTCCAATCTGGAGCAGAAAAAAAATATAGAATGTTATGCTGCAAGACCAACACTGTAAATATATATTGCAAGATTGAAACATACCCAACATACAAGAAAACAGACCCTGCAGTGTCAACATTCTGCAGGTCAATATATACTGTACAAGGAAACAGTCTCTTAGTTCACCAGGGAATATTTCCTAGTAATATGGTAGACTATAAACAAGAAGGATGAATCAAACTGTGCAAAAAAAAAAAATCATACATGTGTACTATAAGTGCAACAACATGATGGGGTTAGTGCCAAACAAGTGTCCAAATGTGAATCCGCAATATATTAAAAGTGTCCACACCAAATAAGTTTCCAAACCAATGCTTCCCAATCTTCCATTGATAGACCTGTGCTCTCAGTGAAAGACCTCTCCCGCTGCATGGAAAACTCACCATATGTATACGCCTTTGTTATCAACAGATAGGCACACATCCCTCAGGCTAGAAATGCTGCATAGAAACAAATCAGCTTCTAACCTCAGCTAATTCAACCAACCACTTCAAGTCTGGACACTTTCACCCTCTTCCAGTCCAGGCCAATTTTCAGTTTTCAGCACTCTTGAACTTTGAATGACAATTGCGCAGTCATGCAACACTGTACCCAAATGAAATTTTTAGCATTTTTTTTTTTAAACAGAACTTTCTGTTGGTGGTATTTATTCACCACTGGGAATTTTTTTGTGATATAAATGAAAAAAAAAAAAAAAGAAAAATGTTGAAAAAAAAAAATTTGTCACCATAGTGACACTGTACAGCTTGTTGGGGGTGATAAAATAATTTTTTTTTTTTTTTTTTTAAACAAATTGCTTTTACATCCATAAAAGGCTGTGAAAAGCAATAATTTCTCCTGCTCTCTGGCTGCATTCCTGCAGCCATTGCAAAAATACTGCGAAAGCTGTAATTGGTCAGAACTTATCACATGGTACAAGGCTGTAAATGGCCTTATACCATGTGATCTCTGTGATCATTCACAGATTTCACAAGTAGTAAACGACATCAGGAAGTGACATCTTGTTTACAACTGTTCATGTGATCACTGAGTGGCCAATCAGTGGATCAGTGGTCACATGAATCGGGACCTCACACAGCAGCCCCGTCACAGGCAATGGATGCGGGGGAGGGGGCATTTAGAAACATCCGCCCTCATCGACACTGCTCCCGTTCGGTCGTTTATCGAAGGTTAAGCTTGAAGCAGATTGGTTTCTATGCAGAAGTGAGGCTGGTTTTGTACTCTCCAGCTTTAGCAAATAAACACCATTGTGCTAATGCACTTATAGTACACATGCATGATTTTATCGTTTTTGTTTATAGATATGGTACACTGCTTTGACCTACAATGCCATGCTGTACACTGAATAAGGCAAAACAAATAAGTTCTCCAAAAAAGCTGACCGTCACAGTGTCTTCACTGAGATAACCCGACAAACTCCCGCTGCCGTACTGGATGGAAAAGTCTGTACCATTCTTCACATAGGTGGAGGATTTGGAAGAGTCGTACTTATGGTGTAACCCTGGTGAGGAGAAATACTGCTGGTAAATCTTTTATAGAATAAAAACCTCATCAAACTGATAACAAAATTTTAGTATAAACTACCAAAGCATTCACAACTATGTGAAAGAACAGAAATCAGATAATACTGCCCTTGTTCATTACTTCCGCCTGGCAGTACTAGGGTCGTTCGTTCGAATCCCAACTACAGCACTACCTGCCTGGAGTTTGCATGTTCTCCCTGTGCCTGCGTGGGTTTTCCTCCAGGTACTCTGGTTTCCAAAGACATGCTGATAGGTTAATTGGCTCCTGTATAAATTGGCCCTAGTATGTGTATGTATGAATGTGAGTTAGGGACCTTAGATTGTACACCCCTTGAGGGTTAGGGACTGATGTGAATGTACAATATACATGTAAAGTGCTGCATAAATTAACGGCGCTATATAAGTACCTGAAATAAAGAAATTTACCACTTACTGTCCCTGAAGCCGTACAAAAATGTTCTGCAACCCAAGGAGTTAAAAAAAACTCAAGGCTTCAGCAGCAGAAATATGCTTTGTTACTATTTTGTTTAGCTGCCCCCCCGTAATATATTAGGTAATATATTATGTTTGTGTACACTAAAGTTAATTGCAAATTTTTTATAAGAAAATACAGATTTGATAAACAGTTGCACAAATATCATGTGCAGGTAAAAAAAAAAAATGTGCATTTATTATTTTTTGTTTCTGGAAGCTCTAAAGCATTGCACAAGTGATCAGCAGATCGCTGGTGCCATTCAGGTCTCCCCTGACCTGTCAGTATATCTGCTTGCTTGTACATCCCATATGGGTAAGCAGATACTGACAGGAAGGCTCAATGAACTACCACGGCGCTGTGGAGCACCAAAACTTGTAGTTTTCCCATTCATAGAATACTGTGAATGAGTGAAGTGCCGGGCAGGCGGAGCCCGGAACCGCCGTGTTTTTATAAAAATTTTGACAGCTAGCGGGGAGAAGATCCCCTGCTAGCTGTCAGAATGGGGATCGAGGGCAGAGGGTGCCGGTCCGGTCATAACATGTTACACCCTGAATATGGATGTAAAATGGTACGAAAGATGAACCTATCCTTTAGGTAAAATGAGGTAACAATATGAAAATGGAGGCTGTTAATACAATGACCATCTGACTCAACACCTATTTCTATGACTCTATGGCTCTCCTAGAAGTCTTGTACAAACATACTGCTATCAAAAATATATACCCATTATACAGGTTATGTAGCTCATGTTAAATCTGACACCTCTAGGTGCCTGCACCTAGCTCCAGCTGTTCTCTAAATGGTCTCATAAGCCTCAAAACCTGAGGGCTCCAATTTACAGTACCAATTTCCATTTCACCTAGGAAGTCAAAGCCCTAAGCCAAGGACACATTTATGAACCTAATGCAAGCAAGAATGTGCCACATACTATACTGCTAACAAATGCAGAGAACACTCACCTGTTTGTGTCACTCCCTTGCTCCAAAATGTAAATCACTGGCGTCAGAGCAACATCATGAAAATAGACAAATGTTGCACTACCTGCATGTGTTCTTCTAAGTGATTCTGCCACTGAGAAAATCTTGCCAGCCACTGGAATGCTAATCTTTCACTAGTGTAGCATTAGCCTAACCCTGAGCCCAACTACACCTCCATAGTGGTTTCCAAATTGCATCCTGGGGCCGGATGCAGTCCTTCGGCTATTATTCTTTCCACTGTCAGCAACAGTGAGGCATATTTCCTCCCACTGACAGCAATGATGGGGCACTTTTGCTCCCACTGACACCAAAGATGGGACACTATTCCTGCCCCTAATACTAAAGAGGGGACACTTTGCTCCCACTGACACCAAGATATTTTCTACCCCCGTTGGCCACAACCTGGCCCTCCTAAAGTTTGAAGGACAGTAAACTGGCCCTTTGCATATACATTTAGACATCCCTGATCTCTATAGTCTCTGGACCCAATAGGTAGGTAGGGAGATTAGATGCTAATTTCCTGGATTTAATCAAAATCAGCATATGACATCACCTTTGAAGTTCAGGGGCACTTTAGAAGACAGCTGCAATTGCATACAGGCATCTGAAGAGGATTACATTGATATATGCAAAACGAGACGAGAGAAGAGCGCACACCCCATAGTGTAGCATGCATAAGGGAGTTAACAGATGCATGGGGGGTGTCAATTTTTACCCGGCACCTGCACGTACAACTGGAATCCACATAGCACTATGCAGTTTTCTTGCGGATGCAATTTTGGAATAGGTGCAGGGATCTTTTTCCTATGTTTTCAGTAGGTACAGCAGCCTATTTAAATGAATGGGTTCTTCTGCCTGTGCTAATGTGGCCACTGAAAAAACTGGCAGAGTTTGAACCTAAAGATGGATACACACATGCCAAAAACCGAAAAACATTTTGTCTGTGTGTACCGCGTTCTGTTCATCAGAAGCCAGTCTAATAACTGGTTCTGTTGGAACAGGCATGCTGGAAAACCAGCAATCAGAGATCGCAGCCAATGGCTGTAAGCACTAATCAGTGTATTTTGGAACTGGCTGAACAAAAAAAAAAAAAAAAAAAAATGGTTTGTGTACTCGGCTTTAGGGTCAAAGATGTTTACAATATGTATATTTAAAACTTCTTGTTAAAAGATTATGAACTTTTGTTTATTAAAATCAAACAAAAAAAAAATGTTTTAAAAGCATATACCTGAAACACAAAAAGGTACACCAAATCCTGATAGGAGGTTTACACTGTACCTGCTTCTTTTAATGTGGTGCATATTAGACATGTTATAATGGATGTCTGTTGCAGACCTGTGTACCGCCAGGCTTCAGTGTATTTTACTATAGCTATGCTAGAGGATTAGATTTAAATTACACAACTAAACATGCAAAAGAAAAAAAAAAAAAAAAGAAAAAAAAAAAAAAAAAAGTACCCAGAAATCTCCATAGGTAACCCTTTAAAAAGGAAGTATAGCTAAAGCTTTTTTGGCTGTACTTCTATGGATCACAGGAGTGCAGTTCGTTCTGCACTCCTGTCAAGGGAGGTCATGGAGCCAGTCCAGTCTCTGGAAAAATATGGTTGGGATCCACCCAAAAACCTGGACCAGCAGCTGGCTCAGCCTTTCAGCTGCGCTGTTGGAGACTGAGCCAGCAGCTCCCTCCCCAGCCCGGCATTCCAGTGAGGGCTAGTAGGGCAGAGCAGAGAGCCGGTGGCTGACAGTCACAGCTCTCTGCTCAGAGTGGAGAGCAAGAGAGAATATATGTGTATATATAATTTTTTTTGTTGTTATAACATCTGTTGAGTTAACAGCAACCTATGGCACTAGAATTGTTACTTTCATTCTGAGATTTGTGCCAATGCTTCACGTGTGGTGCAGTCAAGGTTAACATACACGTGCGAACATGTGCGTACGTTTACATTTGTGGGTGTGCACAGGGCAACGGGGGTTTCCTTTAGCTGGAAGTGGGATAGGCTTACTAAAAAGATGTTTTTTTTAGTGATTGGTTATCTGCTAAAGATGAGCATACACTATCAAATTCCTCCAGCCACATAATCAAGGTGAACGGAGAAATTCCCAGGATATTGTATTCTGACAGCAACTGCAGCCACTGGTTGATAGAAGATCTTCCAAGATGTCACTTTGACAGAAGTTAACTAATTACTTCAGTCCTTCAGACAAATAATAAATACATCCAAAGAGTGAAGGGTTAAGCACCAGCACTGCCACAAGCAATGTCCCCATAAAGAACACCTGTCACCTGCCCAATGCTATTACATTGGGGTTTGTTAACCCTATGTGATCACAAAAGAGTTAAACAAAAAAAATTTAGGAGAAAAAAAAAAAAAAAAAAAAAAGAAAAAATGTATTAACCACTTGCCAATCGCACTATAGCCGAATGATGGCTTTTAAACTGTATTCCCTGATGGCAGTGACCTTCTTCAGAAAGCTAATGCACCCTGCCACACTTCAAAAATAGTTCAGAAATGGTTTGAGGAACACAACGAATTTTAGGTGTTGATTTGGCCTCCAGATCTTAAGTCAACCGACGATACGTGGGATGTACTGGAAAAAACAAGTATGGTCCATGGAGACCCCACCTCGCAGCCTACAGGACCTCTGCTACTAATGGCTTGATGCCAGAATACCTTCAGAGGTCTAGTGGAGTCAATGCCTTGACTGGTCACAGCTGTTTTGGCGGCAGAAATGGGAACCTATTCAATATTAGATGCTTGGTGATAACATTATGGCTTAACTCTGAGCTGAAGTGCCCCTTTTCATGTATGTTGGTGTTGGGAACTATATTGCTGGTCATATATGCTTACTGGGATCACCGTACACAAAAGCCACTTGAGCATTTTCCCCCATTCCTGACCAGGCCACTTTTTGCGGTTCGGAACTGCGCTATTTCAACTGGTAAATTTGCGGTCGGGCAATGCTGTACCCAAACAAAATTTATGTCCTTTTTTCACACAAATAGAGCTTTCAGCAACCTATAGCATGAGTGTGATAGTGTGCGGGCAATCTAACGCTAGCTGACCCTGGCTGGGAGGGACGCTTACGGACCCTGACGCTATCTGATGTCGCTAGTGGCAGGAATACAGTGATCAGTGAAAACCTCTATATACTGACACTGTACTAATGGCACTGGCTGGGTGACGGGGTGATCAAAGAGTTAATAGGGGCGCTCAAAGGGTTAAATGTGCTAATTTAACGCATGCATGTAAAATGTAGTGGTGTTTTTACTCAGTGCCTTGTCTCTCTTCTCTCCCTGGACCGACGGGTGGGGGGGAGCAGGTGCGTTCGCACCCCAAAATAGGAAGCGAACGCGTGATTATGTCGCTTTGCCAAGAGCAAAATGTGAGTAAGTGGTTGGCAAGTAGATTAAAAAAAAAATTCTCAATTTTTTTTTTTTTTTTTTTACTTATTAATACTTTTATCAGAATAGTACGTTACCATAGTGACAGTGTACTACTGTGTGTGTGTGTGTGGGGATGGGGGGTGATCAGGGATTTTTTTTTTCTTTATACTTTGCTTTGCAGGAGAAATGAATTCATTTCTCCTGCAATACAAAGCTTGCTGTCAGAACCTAACTCATTTATGAACTGTCATGAATGAGGTAAGTTTTGACAGCTCAGGATAGTAATCTGTGATTGGCTGGAGCTGGTCACATGGTACAGGGTGTGGCGATTGGCCCCATGTGTCAGCTGTGGGCCAATCACAGCTCACTAGGAAGAGAAGCAGAGCTGTTATGAATGGCATTGATTCATAACAGCTTTGCTTACATAGCAATCACATGATCACCAGGTCCCGTTCACCAGGATCTTCATTCCGCTGTGTCTGCAGTCGCAGCGCAGCCCCTCCCCCGTTTTAGTACAGCCAGAGCCTGTAGCTGCCGCCCGGTCACAGTACATTGTGGGTGGGCAGGAAGTGGTTAATGTGGTCAGTCAATGATTATTTAGAAATATTCTTTTTAGTTCTGGTTGCTCTGTATGGTTTTGTTACTCTTTTTTCCTTATCTTTGTCTTTTAATGCGCCTGGGAAGTGTTAGGCTGAAAAACTTTATTTAAAAAAATAATAATAATAAATAATAAGTAAAAAACTTTTTTCTATAAAAAGCTTAGTTAAAAATAAACAAAAAAGAGAAAACAAAACCAACATGTTATGGCTGATCTGTGTATATATTACACATAACAGTAGAAAAAAAAAACAACCAAGCATAGATGTATATACAAAGTCAAAAGATACGTACAACAAGCAATATCAAAAAAGGAGCAGTGGACGGAGGGCACCCAGAGATTAGAGGAGCCAGTGTCAAATACCACCAGGAAGGTCTGTGGAGGAGTGCCGATACCAACTTCACCAAAATACTGGGCCTATTAGAGCAGAAAGATCATCCAAGATTAGAACACTTTTTACTAGTAGTGGATAACAGAACATAATATGAATCATTTGATTCTGGGGAACCTAAAAGACACAAAAGTTGTGAACAAAAACAATGACCAGCCTGTTCTTTGTTTCATTAGGTAAAAAAAAAACAAAACAAAAAAAAAACCCAGGAAATTACCTCCCATTCACACCTGAGCGGTTTCTGCTCGTTTCCCATTCTTTCTAATGGTCCCTGCTCACACTTGTATAGGTACCCTTCACTCAAAAAAGTATACTTTGCATTTTTATTTTCAGGTCTTTTTTTCTTGTATTCAGGCGTTTTTGATCCCATAGTCTACAATGAAAAAGCCTATAGACGTGAGATAGGCCTGAAAAATGTTTTCAAAATGACCAGGAATATGCTCTGGTCAGGTTTTAATGCAAGCTTGTTAAGGGATAAAGTTATTTTCTGTACTGAAAAATACAGCCGATACAACTGCTTGCTATAAATGAGATTTATTTTAGACATGACCTATTATCACTGTCACATGTCCAGGGAAACCATTTCATTGATCATGCGACAGTCAGCTGAGTAATAAAACAATATACAGATTACATAAAACTTTAACCACTTGCCCTGAAGAGGATTTAATGACCAGGCCTCTTTTTACTATTCGGCGCTGCACTATTTCAACTGATAATTGCGCGGTCATGCAATGCTGTATCCAAATGAAATTTACGCCCTTTTTTCACAAATAGAGCTTTCTTTAGGTGGCATTAGATTACCGGTCTGAAAATTTAAGAAAAACATTTTTTATTTTCGGCTATACAAAATATATAATAAACTCAAATTTCGTAAAAAATTTAGGCCAAAATGTATTCTGCTACATGTGTTTGGTAAAAAAAAATCCCAATAAGTGTATATTGATTGCTTTGTGTGAACATTATAGCATCTACAAACTATGGTACAGATAATGGAATTTACACAGCTTTTACTTTCTGACTGGTCATCACATTTCTTGAGGTGCTAAAATACCAGGACAGTACAAACACCCCCAAATGACCCCTTTTCGGAACGTAGACACCCTAAGCTATCTGCTGAGAGGCAGATTGAGTCCATGGAAGATTTATTTTTTTGGGAAAATGACAAAAATTTTTTTTTTTTTTTTTTTTTTTTACACAAAAGTTGTCATTTAAATTATATATTTCTCACACAAGCCATGGGTAGATGTGGAATTACACCGCAAAATACATTCTGCTACTTGTACCGAGTATGGGGATACCACATGTGTGAGACTTTTTGGGAGCCTAGCCACATACAGGAGCCTGAAATCCAATGACCACTTTGAAAGCCTGAAGGTGCGTAACTTATTCATTTCACTTCCTCACTACCTATCACAGTTTCAGAGGCAAACCCCCCCACCCAAATGACCCCTTTTTGGAAAGTAGACACCCCAAGAAATTAAAAAAAAAAAGGCATGGTGAGTATTTTGCAGATCTCATTTTTTCTCACAAGGTTTTGAAATATAGAAATTAGGTAGGTTTTTGCTCTTTCGTCCTTCATTTTCCAAAAAAATTGTGGCAACAACCGAGATCTGCAAAATACTCAATATGCTTATCAAATTCCTTGGGGTGTCTACTTTGCAAGAAGGGGTCAGTTGGGGGGGGGGGGGCGTGTTGGTGCTACTCTTGGCATTTCAGGACCTCTGAAACTGTGATAGGTAGTCAGGAAGCGTAAAGAGAAAATAAAGCCCTTTAAAAGCCTAAATGTGCTTATTGGATTTCGGGGTCCTTTACTTGGCTAGACTGCCAAAAAGTCTCACATCTGGTACCCCCATATGCAAGAGAAGTAGCAGAATGTATTTTGGGGAGTAGCTACACATATACCCATGGCATGTATGAGTAATAAATTTACTGACAATTTTGTGCAAAAAAAAAAAAAAGTTTTTGTATTTTTCCAAAATCTTGTAAAAAAAATTAATTCTGCTATTGACTCAACATGCCTCTCAGCAAATAGCTTGGGGTGTCAACTTTCCTAAAAGGAGTCGTTTTGGGGGGTGGGGGCATTTTATGCCCAGCATTAGACGTTTATGCCACACATCATTCACTCTTCTAACCACCTGAAGACCAAACCTTTTCTGACACATTTTGTTCACATGAAAAAAAAAAAAAAAAAAAAAAAAAAAAAAAAAAAAAAAATCAGTATTATTTGCTAGGAAATTACTTTGAACCCCCAAATATTACATATTTTTTAAAGCAAACACCCTAGTGAATAAAATAGTGGGTGCTGCAATTTTTTGTCACATAGTACTCGCACAGCGTTTTTTCAAATGCAAATATTTTGAAAAAAAACACACTTTTTTTTTACCTTTAATGCACAAAAACGCAATAGATTGTCCAATTATTTGGAAAAGTATAAAAGATGACGGTATGCAGAGTATATATATACCAAAACATGACATGCTTTAAAGCTGTGCATGCCCTGTGCAATGGCGACAAACTGCATACATTTTTAATATCCATAGGCAATGCTTTAAAAGCCTTTACAAGCTTCCACTTTAGATTTACAGAGGTCTAGTGCTAGAATTACTGCCCTTGATCTGACGTTTGCCACGATACATCACATGCATGGTGCAACAGCTGTTTACATACCTGCACAAGGTAAACGCACGCTCGCGCTGGTGTGCATGGAGGGGAAGCGGGGTTGCTTTTTTTTTTTTTACAGTTATTTTGATTTTTTTTATTATTTTTACACTGTCCCTTTCATTTTATTTAATCACTTTTAATGCTATCACAGGGAATGCAAATATCCCCTATAACTTCAATGGGCATTGTCATATATTCCTTTTTGAGAAATCTGGGGTCTATCCTACTCTAGATATCTCCTCTGCCCTTACATTATCTAATCTCACCAAGATCGGTGTGATCAGATGCTTTCCCAATTTACAAATGGCGCGGTCTATATCCTGCGCAACTGAAGTGATGAAATGCTCGTAGCTTCTGATTTCTTAGACTATAGAGATGATTGGCACCATTCCGATCTCCATTCAGCTCTATGGTCAGCTGGTAGAAACACCGGCTGCATTCTCAGGTTCCCCCAATGGCACGCGACTGCCTGAGAAGGAAGTGGAAGGGTGGGGGGGGGGGGGGGGAGTCAGCGTTTCCTGCTGCTTGTAAAAGCAATCCTGCTTTTACATGAAAGCCGATCGACAGCTGAAAAAAACGATACCAGGATGATGCCTGCAGCTGTAGGCATCATCCTGGTATAACCAAAGTCCAGTGATGTACTAGTACGTTGCTGGTCCTTGTTGGATATATATGCTATATTCTTTTTTTTTTTTTGTGAACTCCAATCAAGGTGTAGAAACATCTCAGCAATGATCATTAGAAATGAAACACCTGAGCTAAATTTCAAGTGTTGTTGCAAACGGTCTGAATACGTCTGGCAATGTGATATTTCAGTTTTTTTGTTTTTAATAAATTTGCAGACATTTCTAAAATTCTGTTTTCACTTTGTCAATATGGGATACTGAGTGTAGAATAATGAGGAAAAAAACAACAACATTGGAATACTAGCCAGTACCAGTTTGCAAAGATTTATTTGCTTTTGAAGAATAAATCACCCTTAACATTGGGTGTCCTAAATGTGTGGATGTTGCTGTGTTCTGTAAAACTATTAGTTTAGGGTTTTTTGTTTTTTTTAACATTTTAGAATGGGATGCCTCAAGATTGTCCATAACTTTAAAGAGTAACTTGACAGAAAAAAAGGTTGAGAAAAAGCGCTAGACACAGGAATACACAGAACACCTGTGCATCCTCATGTGGGTAAACATGGCCCTGCCCGGGGTATGGATGTAATAGCACCATGTGAACAAGGCCTAAGAGACATCAGATGGTGAATACAACATTCTCACCCAGTGGAGGCATACTTACGTCCAGATAGTTCATCAAAGTCTCTGGGGTGGGCTCATTGCTCATAGGGAATCCAGGATAATATTTCTGGTTTAATCCAATGACGTCCTTCAGATCTTTTGTAGCATTAGCCATGGTGTGCCGAATTGTGGGCATTTTCTTCAGAGGAATTCTGAATAGAGACAACAGGTTAAGGCAGGGAATAGATGACACATTAGTAAATTAAAATAAATTATATAATCTGCACTTTACAGGAGCTTCCTCTATGAATAATAAAAGGTCCGATATAGGACCAGATATCCTGCAGCAATTGTACACTGGAACAAGAGAAAAAAGTCAACTAAAGCAAGGTAAGAAAGGTGTAACACTTCAAAAGAAATGTATCCTGGCTTTGTACTTATTCTCATTATCATAGTCTGTTAACCCACAATGCACTGGAAACCCTTGTCATGTATTTTATGTTTATTTGTAAAACTAAAATTGCATATAGATAATAAAGAACAGATATAAAACAACAAATGTAAAAACTATTAAATTAAGTGACCCAAATCATTACAGTTTTCAATTATAATAAAAGTGTAAATTCATCTTTGCTGTAGCTATAATTATACTCTACACCCTGTCCTCCTCCCAGTCTTATAACTGCCTGTCCCAAATCCACAAGACATAATTGACTAGATCACACAGCCTCCATTTCAGGTATTTAGGGACGGGTCAGACATGCGCTCTGTACCCTAAGCCATCCCCTTGGAACTTTCAAGTACAAGATTATCCTCATGACTAAATTTCCATAGGAATGAATGTGAGTTTAGAGTGCATGCATAGGCCCAGCAGAGAATATTTTAAAGGGCAGATATGTGATCTAGTCAACGATATTATTATTATTATACAGGATTTATATAACGCCAACAGTTTGCTCAGCGCTTTACAATATAAAGGGAGACGATACAGCAACAATACAGTTCAATACAAGAGGGATAGGAGGGCCCTGCTCCTGGGAATCTACAATCTAGGTTATCTTCCCGATTTTGGAGACAGGTGAGTATATAGGGCATTATAAGTGAAATGCACAAAAAAGAAATCATAATAGTTTTGGTTTTAATTTAAGGTCTGTATTAACTCTGAGTTTTCTTACTACCTATATACAAATTTAGTTTTACAAATATTCATTAAATACATGACAAAAGTGTTTCCAGATCATTCTGGATTAACTGATCATAATAAAGGAATGAAGTACAATTCCATTGAAATGTTGCACCTTTCTTTAGGATGGGGTTGGGGGAACTATGATATACACGCTCCACACTAACAGGCAAACCTTATCCCCTTATCAGGTTTCCATATCAGGCCTTTTATTTACTGTTTGGCAATTTACAGCCAGCTTTGTAATTTACAAACATTTCCCCATCTGTGCAGCTACATGTAGTTCCTGTTTAAGCAATTTGCTGTCCTAGTTCAGCAATTCGTCTTCTTAGATCAGATCTTCCCTCCAGTCTGCTCAGTGAGCAGCATTTTGTCAGTTTATAAGGCAGAAAAGCAAAAGTTACACTTAGCAGTAACACCTTTTCCAGGAATCTTTCAGAACAGGACCCTTGAGAGACCTCAGCTCCTCCCCACCTCAGGAAACACCACCTCCACCCAGTTTAAAAAGCGGCCTCCCTATTAGGACCTCAGTTCATGTCTTAGCACCTCCAGTCATCTGGTGAGACACAGAACAAGACCAAAAAAAAAACCGCAACCATAAAAAGAGAAAAACTGATAAAAGGGTGGGTAGCTGGCGCTGTACTGAAAAAGGCGTTATCAGTAAGTGTAACTTTGCTTTCCCCCCCCCCGCCGTCTTTCAGGACAGCACCCTTGAGAGGATAAGCGAGCACTTACCTCTAGGGCAGGACCACCACTTGCAAGACCCTGGGTCCTAAGGCCTGCTCTTTTACCAAGACCAGGTCAAATTTGTAATGCTTAACAAAGATGTTGTAATTGGAACAGATATGCAAAGCAGCTACCTGATCCAAAGTTGCACCAACCAGCTCAGCGTACGTGGCTACCATAGCCCGGATGGAGTGAGCCCCAATGCCTTCCAGGACTTCTAGACCTTTGGCCAGATATGCCTGTCTAATTTCTAGTCTCAGCCACCGAGCCAAGATGCGCCTAGAAGCCTTACAGCCCTTTCTCGCCCCTGCAAATAATAAAAAAACAGAATCTGACTTCCTAATATCTTTAGTCATATCTAAATAAAGACGAATAGATCTCTTAACATCTAACGTGTGAAATTTCCTTTCTTGGTCACACGAAGGATTAGAACAAAATGATGGTGAAGCAATTTCTTGGCCCCGATGAAAACCCGAGATTATCTTGGGTAAGAAGGCCGAGTCCGTCCTAAACATCACCCCATCTGAAAAAACCTGGCGGATGGGGGCCCTGACTGATAGGGTTTCCAACTCAATCTGAGGTAATAGCTACCAAAAATACTGTCTTGAGGTTAGGATTTTCAGGGAACCTGAATCCAAAAGCTCAAACTGGGAACCTGTCAGCGCATTGAGCACTGTCGTCAGGTCCCATTTCGGAAATGGCCTCTCCCTTACTGGCTTTTGTCTGGTCAAGGACTTAAAAAAAGTCTTCACAAGCTCGTCTCTGGCACTGTAACTCCAGAAATACGTCAAGCGCTGAGACCTGGCATTTTAGCGTACTCACTGCTAGCCCCTTGTTGGCCCCAGCCTACAGGAATTCCAGGACCGATACTAGACTATGCACTTCTGAGGAAGTTTGGGCACACTATCTGTTAAAAAGTTTCCAAACCTTAATGTAGATTGAACGGGTATCTTCCTACTATTTAGGAGGGGGATACCACCCCTAGCAGAAAACTGTTTCCTCCCCAGCAGCTGTTCTTCAGAAACCAGGCTGCTAGATTCCACCTGTGTACCTGGGGACATAGAATGGATTCTGCGAAAGAAGATCCTCTCAGCACGGCAACATCCAGGGAGGATAAGTTGCCAGGGCTGCGAGGTTCGAAAACCAGGCCTGCCTGGGCCAGTGTGGCGCTATCAGGATCAGGGAAGTTTGCTCGGATCTGAACTCTCTCAGAACCGCCGGCAACAAGGACACTGGAGGGAAGGCGTAACACAGGGGAAAGTTCCACCGATGTGTTAGTGCATCCACCGCCAATGCCCTGTTCCAACGTTTTACGGAAAAAAAATACCGGGACCATGGCAGTTCTGACCGGACGCGAACAGGTCTATGGATGGAGTCCCCCACTTCTCTATGACGATCTGGTAAACAACCCGACTGAGCACCCACTCAGATTCCCTCAGCTGTCTCCTGCTGAGAAAATCTGTCACCTGGTTCGAATCCCCCTTCAGGTGGACAGCGGATAGGGAGGCTACATTGGCCCAGGCCAGCTGAGCAGTTCTGAGGCATGGGCCTGCAGGGCTCTGCTTCATGTCCTCCTTGTCTGTTGACGTTCGCCACAACCGAGGAGAGTTGTCCAAAAGCTCCCACACGTGTTGCCCCCACAGCTGCTCCTGGAAGACCACAAGGGCAAGTGACACTGCTTTCAGTTCCATCCAGTTCGAGGATCTGCCCACTTCTTCTGGTAGCCAATAGCCACAAACCCCTTCAGGTGAGCTCCTCAACCTCTGGCACTTACATCCGCAGTAACCTCTCTGGAGATGGGAAAGGCCCATAACAGCCCCTGAGCCTAAGTTGGTTGACCTCCTCCACCTGGGGGGATGGGAATGGGGTAGCCCGAACAGAGACTCCTGCTAGTGATCCCAAATGTCCAAAGTGAACAGCTGGAAGGGCTGCCCACTGCACTGCCAGGATGGATGCGGTCAGGAGACCTAACACAGACATGGATTCTGTTAGGGACATGGCCTGACTCCCTGGCAGCCGCTGGATTCCCCTGTCTAACTTCAGAATTTTCTCCTGCGATAGGAAGGTTTTCTGAAGGGTGGAATCCAGCTCTAAATCCAGGTACACCATGCTTTGGGCAGGGACCAAATTTGACTTGAAGTCAACCTAAACTCTCCAGGTGTCTATCATCACTCCTTAACCAACTTTACCAGGCCCCCCTGGTAAGGCGCTTCCTCCATAATAAGGCCCTCTATACAAGATCTGCATAGCACCTTAGTCCAGGAGTCCCTAAGTGTCACCCTGCACGAGGGGCACTTCTTTTTAGTCCTGTGGTGAGGCTTAGGCTCTCTGGCTTTCACATAGAACAGAAAACACAGTCGCCTGGTACACCATAGTTTTCCAGGCTTCCTTTTCCCCCCTAGACACCTTTAGTGCAACGCCTGGCAGGGCGTGGGCATCTCCTAAGATGAGACCCCCCACCCCCTGCCTCGTCACTTGAGGAGGACTGAGGACACCCCCTGGAGCTATGGGCCTAACAGGTAGGGGAAGAGGCTCCTCTGAGCCACCTACCTGAGACTGGCTGGTGCTGGCATTACTTTGTCCCTCCACTCAGGACATGTCCCAATATGGTGGTCCGCATGGCCTGCCTCTGCAGAATACAGCTCCCCTCATCAGCCCGAACTCTGGTATGCTGATCACAGCACTGCGACCGGAAGCTGAAAGCCATGTACCAGTAGGAAGTCCCCCTTCCTTAGCTGGGAGTGACGTTCCACGCCATCCAGCCTGGCAAAAGCTCTACTGCCTGCATCTGCATGGAGTAGCGGCACCTCTCCTATGGGTCCCCCTGAACAGCAGACCCCCAGCACCCCTCTCCTCCCCAGGCGGAGGCCAGGCCATAGAACAGGAGGTAAAGGGGCCCCCAGAGGACTGAACCAGGTCCGTACCTCCCCCCACCTTGGAGGGGAAAAAAAAAAAAAAAAGAAAGGAGAAGAACATAGACCGCGTCCGGTACACCCCCCTCCCCTCCCCAGGTACAGCGTAGGCCCCCTGGCCACCCTGGGAGGTCTTCCAATTCGTGTCTCCCCACCGGAGAAGACACAATTACTGAGGTCCTAATAGAGAGCCCACTTTTTAAACTGGGTGGCAGTGCTGTTTCCTAAGGTGGGGTGGAGCCGAGGTCTCTCAACGGTGCAGTCCTGAAAGATGGTGGAGGGAAAACACAGAATATTTCATGTAATTACATGTAGAAGCACACATCGCAAAGTGGAAAAATACTTAAAATATGAAAAACAACTGCAGCTAAAATTTTGTTCCTGGTGTATG